AGGATAAAAATTATGTTAAAAGAGTAATTAGAGATTAAGCCATGTCATCTTTTTCTATAGACATGTCATAATTTTTNNATGANAAGTNATAGTTTTGAGCCAATAANATTAAAANAAATAATCATTNTAACTAATTGTACTTCTCTTTTAATAGGAAGGGGATTTGAAGTTTTAATCTGAAACGTGTGTTAATCGAATTTACATGCGGATGACGTATTCACATTGCTGAGTTGGTTACTTTGTAGTAGTAATTGTTATTTACGACATCAAATTGGTTACTTTCTAAAATATATGAAAATGTAGTCATACTATTTTTGTAAATGTAATGAAATTTTCAAATTGATCAATAAAAAATTCCAATCCATGAAGTTCTACATTTTAAGAGGTCTTATGTCTCCAGCAAAATAATATGCGCTCGTGCTAAGAAATAAAATTTATCCCGATAGTTAATCCATTTTATATTTTTTAAATTTATTAGTCATTTTTTTTTGATAGTTCCAGACTTTTCAGATTTTGTATACCTTTGATTTGGTTAATCATCAATCAAATTCTATAATAAATTAGTTGTTTACAATTGATCAAACTGCCGGGGAAAAAAAGAAAGAATCCCGATATACTTTCTCGGATTTCCATGCATAAAGTAAGAAACAAAGCTTAGGAGAAGAATACCAAATTTAATTTTCAGATTCTTCTTTATTCGGCGATTAATATTATCTCATTGACTAATGTTGAGTATAAAATGATATAATTTGTAATGGGTATGCTTCTTATTGGTTTTCTCGTAGTACCAATATTTACTATTAAAGTCAAATTTTTGTATCATGCCATGTAAAAGAGTTAGTATCTATATTTAAAGGTTTAGCATATCTACATCGATTTATTATATTAGACGATAACTTTAGTGGTAAGATATCTTATTTTGGACGCCAAGCTTAACAAATCAATGTAATATGTTTTTTTTTTTTAAAGTATCATATAGTATAGACTTAAAACTGAGCCTTTTTTGTGAGCTATGTGAAAAGTTATTATTGAACAGTTACAACTTTTCAAAATGTGACTTCTCATTGTTGGCTACTATTTCTTAAACTGTATATTGTTTGCTATTTATTTATTC